CGATTCAATTTTCTGCTACATACTATATGAATCTCAGTCCTTGCACAAAAATACCCTCCATCATCTTTATACACCCCTCCAACATTTCTGTAGACGTTTTTTACATTATTGCTAATGTTATATGTACCATAATTTTTAAACCGAAAACGACAAAATCCGGCTTCCGGTTTACCACGAGTAGCCCCCTACTTTAAAGAGATGAAGAAAAAAAAGTCAAACTACAAACTTACAAATATTTCCAGAAAATTAGGGAAAAAAATTCAAAATTCATCATTGAACTTCCATTGACTTTTAATATGCAGTATTCTTATTTTAATTTTTGTGTGTTAGGAGGATGAAGAGAGTGTGATAGAGGATGCTACAGAGGTCCAGCAGGGTCGTCCGTACCACTGGAAGGACTGGTGTATCGTCCGCGGCCGGGACTGTCTCTACCTCTGGTCCGACGCCGCAGCACTGGAGCTCTCCAACGGAAGTAATGGCTGGTTCCGCTTCATCCTGGACAGCAAGCTGGCCACCATGTACTCCAGCGGTAGTCCCGAGGGAAGCTCGGACAGTTCGGAGAACCGTGGAGAGTTCCTGGAGAAGTTACAGCGAGCCCGTGGACAGATTAAACAGGGCGCGGTCAGTCATCCCATCCTGTCTCACGTAGGGTCACAGAGACTGGTGGTGGGGAACTGGACACTGACGTGTAAAAAGGAAGGAGAGCTGCACATCCATAACTCTGATGGACAGCAAGTCTGTGATGTAAGTTTGAACACAGGGTTATTGTTTGTATATTTTTTGTTTCAACATGAAAATGTTTATAAATAAGCATTCACCTAATCAATAAATAAAGTATGTCATTGTAAAAAAAAGTTCATAATGGCTACTGAATTATAGTCATACATTTATCTCAAACTTAAACCAATCTCAATTTCTTTGTAATTGAGAAATTGAGCATAAAATACTTACAGAATTTGTGATTGGGACCTGCAAATCACATTGACATAGCCATGGTATTCAAGAGGTGTTGGAAATACCAAAGTTCAACATTAATTTGTTAGCTTATTTCATGTTTTGATTAGTTATTCAAATGTTATGAATTCATCAATGTTTACATTATGTTACAGCAATCTACAATCCTGAAGGAGGACCTGGCAGGGTTTATATTTGAGTCTAACAGAGGCACAAAGCACTCCTTTACAGCAGAGACTTCACTAGGGCCGGAGTTTGCCACGGGCTGGGGTGGCAAGAAAAACAGGAAAATGCGCTCAAAGACTGAGGAAATCAGATCAAAGGTAGGGAGCATCAGAATTATCATTTTGGTCTGATTGGTCATTAAATAATTATTAAAAATAAGCAAAATTGGTAGTGAGTAAAATGTTTCTTTTATTTTTGTCAGGTGAAAACAATGGCCAGGGAAATTTATGAGCAGTACTTCAGATCTGCAGAAGCCATGCCTCGAGGAGTAGTGGCTAAAATACGCAACATCGTCCAGCAGTTAGAAGCAGCTTGTGCCATGCAGATCAGTCAAGTCAGGGTAGGTTCAATAACTCAATACTCACAGTATTTCAGGTCTCACAACATCTCAAAATTTTTTCTGCATTTCTCAACATTTTACAATTCTTACATCATCTCACATCTCATCTACCTTCTGCTATAAGAAAAAATCTTAGATAATGTAAAAATTACATCTTGAGTAAAATTTATCTCACCTGTACCAAAATTGGAAAGTAAATTTGCTTATGTCTCATTTTAAGGAGGCTGGGGGGTCAACAAATTGATCAAAAATTAACCACCAGATCTAACTTATTTTTTTAGATACGGTAACTTTAGCTGTCTACTTTCATTTCACAAAAAAAAAATTCATACATTTTTGTTTTAAATTTTGATCATTTTCTATATCTTCATATGGAGCTCTCCTTTTAAAGGAGATAAAAATAGTCTGAAAATGGCTGCCACACCCCAGCCCCGTTAAGCTGCATTTTCTGATAGAAAGTAGTCAAATTTACAAGAAAATTCCTGGTTGTAGGACAGAGAGTTTCTCCCTTAGTATTAGGGTACATAAAGTCAAGTTTGCATCATAAATGTTATTTCAAACGTTTTTCCTTCTGTCTGTTACAGAATGCTGATGGTGAGGTGACCTGGATTGAGGACATGAGGGCGAGTCTGGAGGAGCTGGTATCGTTACTGAGAGACGAACACACTGTATCCTCGTATGAGCTCCAGTCCAGCGGGCTAGTACAGACTCTCCTCAACATCCTCAACAATGTAAGGAATGATTATAAAATGTCATGCAATTCAATATATTGAATGAGATATTAAAAGATTTTAATTACACATGTAGAATATGACTTTTCTTTGATAATGCACTAACTGATTATCTGTATGTGGAATGTATCAACTCCAAATAAGTTTTTAGCTCACCTGAGCCGAAGGCTCAAGTGAGCTTTTCTGATCACATTTTGTCCGGCGTCCGTCTGTCCGTCTGTCTGTCTAGCTGTCTGTCCGTCTGTCTGTCTGTCTGTCTGTAAACTTTTCACATTTTCGACTTCTTCTCAAGAACCACTGGGTCAATTTCAACCAAACTTGCCACAAAGTATCCTTGGGTGAAGGGGATTCAAGTTTATTCAAATGAAGGGCCACGTCCTTATTCAAGGGGAGATAATTGGGAATTAATGAAAATTTAGTGGTATATTTTAAAAATCTTCTTCTCAAGAACCACTGTGCCAAGAAAGATGAAACTTATGGGGAAACATCTTCTGGTAGTGTAGATTCAACTTTGTTCAAATCATGACCCCCGGTGGTAGGGCGGGGCCAAAATGGCCGACCAAAGTTTTACATAGAAATATATAGGAAAATTCTTTAAAAATCTTCTTCTCAAGAATGACAAAGCCATAATTCATCATATTTATATGAGAGCATGCTCATGTAGTGTAGATTCAAGTTTGTTCAAATCATGACCCCCCGGGTAAGGGCGGGGCAAAATGGCCGACCAAAGTTTTAAAAAGAAATATATAGGAAAATTCTTTAAAAATCTTCTTCTCAAGAATGACAAAGCCATAATTCATCATATTTATAAGGACACATGCTCAGGTAGTGTAGATTCAAGTTTGTTCAAATCATGACCCCCGGGGGTAGGGCAGGGCCAAAATGGCCGACCAAAGTTTTACATAGAAATATATAGGAAAATTCTTTAAAAATCTTCTTCTCAAGAATGACAAAGCCATAATTCATCATATTTATATGGAAACATGCTCAGGTAGTGTAGATTCAAGTTTGTTCAAATCATGACCCCCGGGGGTAGGGAGGGGCCAAAATGGCCAACCAATGTTTTACATAGAAATATATTGGAAAATTCTTTAAAAATCTTCTTCTCAAGAATGACAAAGCCATAATTCATCATATTTATATGGAAGCATGTTCAGGTAGTGTAGATTCAAGTTTGTTAATTACCCCCGGGGGTACCAAAATGGCCGACCAAAGTTTTACATAGAAATATATAGGAAAATTCTTTAAAAATCTTCTTCTCAATCATTTTCTAAAAAATAGCAAATCCATGATTGGTCATGGGACTACTTTTGGATTTAAACTTTACAATACAAAGCCATTTTATACTAGTCCTACCCGTGGTGCTCAGGTGAGTGATGTGGCCCATGGGCCTCTTGTTTAGAAAGTTACTGATTGAAGTGTTAAAGGAATTGCATTGCACACCTAGGAAACAGCTGTTTTTTTGTTGATCATCTACTCACTGACCATGTCTATTTTTAGAACATTGAGGATTCCACCAGTAAAGACAGTAAAAGGAGGACTAAAGAGAGGATTGGGATTTTCCGAGGAGTCTTCCAGGAAAACGATAGGTATAGGCAAGGGTTATATGTGACTTACAGTAAATATATGATAGGTACAGACAAGGGTTGAATAGGACAAAGTAAATATAAAAACTATGTTAAATAAAAAAAGCAAAAGAAAATCTTAAGCAGCATGTCATGTATAGCTCTCTTGAGCAGTAAATTCAATCAATTCAAAATTAAATTCTGATCACCTGTTGTTTGCCGTCCATTTGTCTGCCCCTCTGTTCATCCATATTTACAAGGTAGTTGAGAATTGCTTCTCAAATCTTATGTGTGTGTTATCAATACTGATAAACAAATGAGTCAACTAGAATGACTTTCTTGATAGAGCTTGCTAAAGTTTCATATACTGTATTATTTCCTTATAATACTGTACATTGATTGGATTTTTGGTTTCAGTGAAATGAGTGCTACTTTGCATTTATGAAACTGTGAATGAAAAATTGTGACGTACAGCACTGTCCAGTCAGATTGAACACTATTTAAACTTAATTTTGGGATGCATTTGATTGACACATCCTTGTACTTTCACAAAGTAAACTTTATCCTTAGTACCGAAGAAAAGTAGATATTTTGTTGTTTATTAATAAAAAAATATTAAAATTATCATCCAGAAAATTCAGAGTAGAAATGTGAGAAAGGAAATCCAACTCACCAGTATCATCAGTCCATGTTCATTGATGTGGGCAGAGTTTAGCAAATTGAACACACCCACTTAAATGTAAACATTAACAATAAAGGAGCTTGTACCCTGTTAACAAAATTTTTTTTCTTTTCTGAGTGTGTTCAATTTATGATTATACCATAGGAAGCAAAATGGGATTGAATGACCATGTGTTGCCAGAAAAGAAAAGATTCAATTGAATTTTTCTGTAAAGGGTTTGTTCCCAAATATAGAGAGCTTGGCCCTTCATTTGAACAAAGCCAATTTTTCCAACATTTTTTTTGTCCTGTAGTTTCTGGCGAACTTTCTCTGAGTATCAGTTTTGAAACTCATTTTTTCGAGGAGTTCTTTGTATTCATGTTTTAACCTTGTGAAATCAAAGATACATAACTCTTGATTCAATATTTTGTCAAAATTAACACTCATCAATTTTTGTAAACAAAAAATTGTCAATTTTTCAACTCGTCAAAATAACCACGTTTACAGTACTAGTAAAATTTTTATTCTTTTGTTGTTTAGTTTAAATCAAATACAACACAGTGATGTATTTCACTTCAAATATTTGATTTTCTTCACTTGTCTTGTTCCATACTGAGCAACAAACAGATTGTCATTTGTATCTGTACACAGTCCCCAGGGTTTACTCAGTCCACAGTCTATGTAACGGAGGAACTGTCCATCCTGGTCTATGATGTGGACACAGTCATTTTTATCATCAGCTGTAAGGATACGATTCTGACTGTCTGTGGTGATTCCTCGTGGACTGAATGGTTGGTTCTTTGGAGCAGGAGTATGTCCAGTGTACCTGAATCTCAGTTTCCCGGCCTGATTGACCACCACTACTGCTCCAACTTTGTTGTCAGATGCACAGATGTCCAGGTTCTTGTTCTCCGTTATATAACAAAGATCAGACGAATAGATAAGTGTACCTTTATCATCAAACTGAATGGTTTGTTTCTCTGTGGAGCCAGAGTAACGGACAACTTTTGTTTGTTTGTAATCATCATTGTACATGGTAACCAGGAGGTCACCAGAGGAGGTACTACAGACACCACGAGGTTTCCAGTTCTGGAGTCTGATTGCTTCTATCTTCTTATTCTTAACAGTGTTTATAGTTCCACCATTATATTCAGTGTAAACTAGATCTCCACTTTTTGTCACTTTTATGTCAGTTAGTAGGTTCCCAGACTTGGTTCTGATTGCCTTGAGTAGTGATCCCTGATTGATGCTGAAGAGTTTCATGGTGTTGCTATTTCCACTTGTCCAGATTTCTTCATCACTCAGACAGGCCACATTGTAAAGGTATCCATACCCAGTGTCTATGGTGGTGACAGTCTTTGGTTCTTCAAGCAGTTGTTCATATGAAATGAGATGGTTTGATGATATGGCTCCAAACAGTTCACTAAGTTTTACTCCTTGGATTTTTCCAGGAAGGAGTTTGGGTGAAATACATGTAGGTACACATTTTTGTGAAAGATTTTTGTACAAATGTACATTGGATTTGACTTTTAATAGTTTTGACAAGTCATTAGTGTTTATAGCCATTTCCATTGTATTAATTTCATCCTTGATGTCAGACATTGTCTTGTTTATTTCATCCAGATGTTTCTGTAGAGTTTGTAACTGTGTGCTTTTCATCACATCAACTTCAGCTTTAAGTTCCTGGACAAGTTTGTCAATTTCTCTGTGCCAGTCCTCTCCATGTTTTGTTATGGCTGTTGAGAGATCTCCATATTCCTTTTCTAACTGACTCATTCTGTTTTGTACACCAGAAGCAATGTCCTGGTAGGTTGGGTATATTGTCTTATTTAGCTCAATTTGTTCTTTGGTGAATTTTTCCTTTTTTTCATCCACAACTTTCCATAATTCTAATAATTTATGACCTAGATGTTGATCAGATGCATTGATGCACTTATGGCAGACAGGAATGTCACATTGATGACAGTACATTCTACATCGTTCTTTGACATGAGACGTACAATCAAAACATAGGGATATAGATTTTTTAAGCTTGAATGGGACAATTTCATGTTTTTTGGATTGATCAGATATCATATGTTTTCCTACACAAGCTATACACAGGTTAACAAGACATGTATCACAGTGCATCTGTACCATAGCGGTCTCACACAAGTCACATCGCATCATGTCCTGGGCACTGATACGGGGGTCCATCGTGAGATTCTGTGACTATGAAAAATAAAGAAATTCAGTGTTTGCTATTTTGAATATTACTCAAAAAGAGAAAAATGGATTTTTTAGCATGATGATATTGACAGACAAGTCACTCTTACACTTGAAAAATAAGATATTATATCAAAGAACTTCCAGGGAACTTTGACAATGTGGAAATGTTGATGAAATTAATAAAAATCATCAATGCTTTCACTTGTCAACTTCCAGAATCCTGTTAAAGAGCTCTGTTCTATACTAACTTGTCTAAGTTGTCACTCGCCAGATCTCTGATTGACCAAAACCATCAAACTGCCAACCATTCAACATGACCCCTTTTACACAGATTAATTTTATTCCTAGATTTATTTTATTTTTGAATTCTCAACTGATTTCAAAGAAGAAGGTACAGTTTCAATACAAATGAAGCCCTGTATTTTTCTAAAATATTGAAGTTATACATGTATATGAAATTAAAATTCATTCTTTCTGATTCATAGAAATTTCATGCAATAAGAATACACAAATCTTTTTTCTCATATGACCACCTGAATGCTAATTGTGACGTCATTATCTTGTGCATTTTCCTGTATTTTCTTAAAAAGTTGCGAAAGACATCAATTTTCAGCGGAATTTTCTTTCAAAAAACATACTCTGCCACCGTCACCCACAAAGATTTTGAGATAAGTGATTTTTCAAAGCAGTTTACATAACATATATATCCAAAAACTGAACCGGGTGACGGTGGCAGACACTATTTTCTAAAGGAAAATAAGCACAGAAATGAGTCATTCTGAGGCTTTCCTGCATTAAACTTAGAAAATGTACCAAATTAATGACGTCTTATTTCCAGAATGGTCCTACTTCATGCCTTATTTTATATTGATTTATCATATTCATCTATTCAACTCTTGTTAAAGCCAATTTCATAACTTTTTAAGAACATTAAATTTTTAGGGCACAATAAAGCCAAAACCATACCTTCTTCTTTGCAGAAATACTAAAGTTACTTCTTGTATATTTATTACCTGACTTCAGTAATGGTGGCCTTCCTGTCTTTTAATCCAAGTTTAGTCTCTATACACACTGTTCTTGCCATACACTCACTTGGTACCTGTGCTATCTACCTGTCAGGTGTTCATATTTCCTGGTGTAGAAGGATATTCACTATGCAAGATTTATTTTGTATAGATCATTGCATGTGAATTTGATTATTTCCTTTATAATTTAAAGTATAAGGAAAGTTCATGTAATCACTCCATTGTGTATATTCATGAAAGAAACTACATTTTTCAATAAACATAGTATTATGATCAACATTTGCTCTTTAGACATATTTATTGAGGCCCATTAGGGTATTAAATTGTGGAAGTTTCTTCTGTGCAAGTGTGAGAAACAAACTGCATTCATAGGCAAAGAAGCTGTGTTCATAGTGATGTGAATGCAATAGATGAATGCTGATTCATTAGAAAGGAAAACATAAAATAAAACAAGCAAATATAACAGAATAATATTTTTAAAACATCTTTTAATAATTTTGCTCTCCAAAATAGAAGAGTTATGTGAGTAACATTAATATTAAAGTAATCTCATGTTGTATGGATTTAAGTTTGTTGAAAGATAGGAACAAAAAATCCTTTGATCATTTTTTGAAGAAAATGGACCAGGGTGATTCAAGCATCCATTGTGGCTCTTGGGCCTCTTCTTACATTCTGTTTATTATTAGTTATCAAAGAAAACTACATCTGAAAAATATTTTGTTAGTCTAGGTTTTTTTGGCTATAAAATCATTAAAAGAATGTGTCAGACAAAAAAAATATAAATTCCGAGTTGAAATGAAGGTAATCTCAGTGTAGTTAAACATTTTCTGAACTTGCTGTTCAAAACTTTTTCTCTTTATTTCAGTCTTAATCCAGCCATAGCTTTGGTCAGAAAGCTGATAGCAGTGTTAGAATCTGTAGAGAAGCTGCCAGTGTATAACTATGACTTACCGGGCTCTGGTTATGGATTACAGGTAAATACATGTCATTTGTTATTCTTACTTACTGTAAACCAACTATTACTCGCATCATTTTTTATCCCAGATTCATCAATTTGAAATCAATCTGCGACTATTAATTTTCATGACCGAGGAAAGATTCCCAACAAATATACAAAGCAAAATAAATGGTTTGCAGCAATTTATGTTCACAAGTTGAGTTATGTCAAACAACGTGGATATTATCTAGCACTCGAATAAAAGTTGGTTTATAGTATTTGATACATGGAAGATTGGTCCAAGCTTTTAAGTAGAACCAGTGAATAAGAAAAATATTCAGAATAACCCAAATGATTTTGATGCTATTATTGTAGATTTTGACTCGCCGTTTGAGATTCCGACTGGAGCGAGCCCCCGGTGAGTCCGGGTTACTAGAGAGGAGCGGATGTAACCTGAAGATGGAGCCCCTGACAACAGTCGGCGTGCTGGAGAAATACTTACTCAAAATGGTTCGTCTTCCTAATTAAATCTTTAACAATCTAATATTATTTTCCAAATCTCAATAATGCATTAATATTGATTTAAGATTGGTTTTGAGGAATTTCTGTTTAAAAGTAATTGTAATTCAATATGTACAGCATTACTTTTCAAAATAAATATGAATGTTATTTTAAGAATGTGTATGATTTATTATGTTCTAAAAATCATTATATTTCAGGTTGCCAAGCAGTGGTATGACTTTGACAGACAGACCTTTACTTTTGTTAAGATGTTGAAGGAGAAGAAGGAGCCCCTCAGTTTGAATTATCAGTCAGACTTTGATGAGAATGGTCTCATTTACTGGATAGGATCAAATGCAAAGTAGGTCATACTCATCATGCAAAGATCTGTCATCAACACAAGTATAATATGTCAAATATTGGTCAAAAGCTCTGTGTAAAAATTTTATTTCTGTGTGTGTAGGTCAGCCATTGAATGGGTAAATCCAGCACAGTATGGACTGATAGTGGTGACCTCGTCTGAAGGTCGTAATCTGCCATACGGGAAACTGGAGGATATCGTCAGTCGAGACAGCGCAGCTCTTAATTGTCACACAAATGACGACAAGTACGCATTCACACTTACATTTAAAATTTCCTCAAACCTTATGTTCATGAATTGCATGGAAAACAATGAAATAGAAATATGAGATTCATTCCAAATACCAGATACATAACACTACTATACATGTATTTTGTGCCCTTTAGGAAGGCGTGGTTTGCTATTGATCTGGGGGTGTGGATCCTGCCCACTCACTACACACTGAGACATGCCAGGGGATATGGAAGGTAGGACACTTATAATTCACATCATCTCCATACTCTGTAATTACACTGGCAAAAAATTAAATGATTGTTTATTTACAATTATAATGTTGTATAGGTTAGAAAATTATTCTTCATGTCAAATTTTTCTGTACAGATCTGCCTTGAGGAATTGGCAGTTCCAGGTCTCTAAGGACGGCACCACCTGGGTGACTTTGAGAAGCCACAAGGATGACACCAGCCTGAATGAACCGGGATCCACTGCCACATGGACCCTGACGCCACCAGAGGAAGAAAAGCAGGGGTGGCGACACATCAAGATCCAGCAGACGGGGCGTAACGCTAGTGGACAGACCCACTATCTGTCTGTATCTGGGCTGGAGATTTATGGGTCTGTTAATGGAGTCTGTGATGATTTAGGTAAAAAAAAAAATTTGTGAATTACCAGGAAAATTTTTTTTTATAGCACTGTATAGAGAAATAAAATAAATTCTATTACAATGTTTAAATCTGGATCTAAATTAAAATCATGAAGTGTTGAACGTTAAGTCATTCTAACTCAGGAATATTTCTTTTTGCAGGAATGTTTAAGCTAGTAATTTACAATCATGAAGTATTGAATGTGCATTCATGTGGCAATATTTAAGATTCATAGGTCAAAAAATGGGAAATAGAAAAAGCTATTTGTTTTATTGTTCCTTTCTGCAGGTAAAGCCGCCCGGGAAGCCGAGGCCAGCCTGAGGAGACAGCGGCGGATCATAAGGACCCAGGTCCTCAAACAAATGGTCCCTGGGGCACGGGTCGTCAGGGGGATGGACTGGAAGTGGAGGGACCAGGATGGACCGAAGGCAGGCGAGGGTACTGTAACAGGAGAACTACATAATGGTAATAAAGGAGATGTCTTATTTTGAAGATTTCTGATGTTAAAAATATAGATTATAAAAGATGTATTGAAAAACACTATAAAAAGAAACCAAATGTACATGTTGTTCAGGCCATAGACATAGTTTCATTCAGATGAGCTTTAAAGTACTCCATATGGGGAGATTATCTATTTAACAAGATATCAGTTACTTCCCATTAAAAATCCCCAATTTAATTGTTAATTCTTTGATTGACAGGTTGGATTGATGTGACCTGGGATTCAGGAGGATCGAATTCCTATAGAATGGGGGCAGAGGGAAAGTATGATCTGGCCCTGGCCCCGGGGTATGACCCAGAAAAACACAGGGCAGTCCCAGTCAAGTCTGACCAAGGGGCAAAGGCCAAAACGGGGATAGTCACCGCTGACAAGGTGAAGGTCAGTTAGATTGTAAAATGTAAAATTGTTTTAATTCCATGCTTAATGTTTTGTAATTTATTGAGACTATTCTAAGTATGGTTTGTTGTATGTTTACAGGTAAGTGTGTTGACGAGTCGTAAAAGCAGTTCCACCCCAAGCCTGACAGAGGTAGATGAAAACAAACCATCTGTTGCCAGCACAGAGCAGGCAGCCTCAGCAGAATGTCTGACATCAGCCGTCAAATCTGTAAGACAATCCTAGATTTGTACAGTTTTGTATAGTTAAATTTGTATCTACTGTTTGATGCTCTCTGAAGAAAATGGAACATCATTTTCGTTTTAAGACATTGTAAATAAATCAACAACAGGATATATCATGTGGTTACAATGTCATGTTTTAAGTTTTGATTGTATTGCAGAATTTTGTGATAATTGTTCATGCTTTTTCTCTGACACTGAAAAATACATTTATTTATCATAAACAGCAGAAAATTCCTTACAAGATGGCTTACAATACAAAATGATTTCAAAGTGGTAGAATTTGTTAATGAGTGATGAATCCTGATAATTATTGTCACTATTTCAGATGGCCCAGAATCTAAGTGACAACCTCGTCAATCTTGCCACAACTATGGAATCCCTGGAGGAAACTAAAAATAGTAATAACATCCCAAGTGAACCTCAGGTGGTTGTCCAAGAGTCAGCCAGCCTTAACAACAACAGGACGGGTAGTGTGGAGGGCCAGGAACCAGCACAATCTGCCTCGGGGGCCGAGGGAGGGATGACGCTGGAACATCTGAACTCAAAGCCTGATGGGAAGAAAGTAGATGGGCAGACCAGGGGGTCCCCCACCAATCCTATGAGTGTCAGCGTCCCTAACCTGCCCACCAGCATGGAGCAGACGGTCAGTCTCCTGGAGACCTTCGCAGCTGTCGCTAGGCGTAACTTAGGAACCGTTGGCATGAACAACAGGAGTAATGCGCTCAGGCTTGGGAACCAGAACGCACCAAGTAAGGAGAGAGTGATGGCTATTTATAAAATGTATGTAGAAAATCTGTCAAAGTATTGAAAATTGATTTCTAGAAAATACGAAAAGAAAAGGTCAAAAGTTCGTCAAAACAAAAAGATTATTTTGAGATAAACATTATAATTACAACAGATTTTCTACCTTTAAGAAATTGAGTGAAAACAAAACAGAGTTGATGGATACTTACAGAAGACACAGACTTGTTCTCCATTGTAGGTAACAATCTCCTGAGTACCGCTCAAAGCTACCCGAGTCTGACGACCTCTAACGCTCCCACCTCGAGTACGCTCACCACCACCCAGACGATGGCTAACGTGACCTCCCTGAGCCAGGCCCTGACCCGCAGCCTCACTTCAACGTCCAGCGAGAGTGATGAGTTCCTGGAGACCTGCCGAGCAACCACTCTACTGGGAGAGCTGGACGACGATGAAGAATTACCAGGACCAGATGATGATGATGATGAAAATGAAGATGAGAACGAAGATGATGAGGTGTATGATGATGTTTTGGTGAGTACAAATGAAGCCAGTGCTTTTTCTGAGGTCAGATAATTATTGTCTGTAATCTTTGAAAGAAATATGAATTTTTTTCAAATTTCAAGGTATACTTTCATGTTTTATTTGGTGATGTGAATGTTAAACTTTGGATTCATCATTGTTTGTTGGGCACCATAAGTCCATTTTGTGGATTTCATCACTCACTTACCCATAAATTTACATCTTCTTAAACATTTATTTTCTAAAGATATTGATCATATACAACTAACCCATAGATTACGTCCCCACTTTCGAGTTAAAATTTTAACTTGCCCACGGACACCACAAATTAAAATGATTCCCTGTGGTATTCTATGATTGCTGTGAGTGATGATTATGTTGTTGTTTAGGAGGAGGACGACCTGGCAGAGGTCCGTGGGGAGAGGAGGAAGACCTGGGATGACGAATTCGTCCTCAAACGACAGTTCTCTGCCCTCATCCCGGCCTTTGACCCCAGACCGGGTTGCACTAAC